AAAGTGAGTAGGTGAAAAGCAGTCTGGAAACTTTGGCAGCCTTGGTCCAAAATGTTTAGACCAGGCAGGCTAGAAACTCGAGCAGGGTATAGATGCCAACACTGCTTGAAGCACAATTCTATCTCTATGGCTCTTATTTGTAACATTTCCTAACTTCTGATATTTATTGGAATATTATATATTTATTTGGGGGTGGAAATATCAGGCACAGATCATAGAAATATTGTTTGCAAACATTTAGAGTTAATGATTTTACACTTTACTAGAATGACTTTTCCTAATTTATAATTTGATGACAAATGCTAAGAGAAGTAAATAATTAATAAAAATTGTTAAAAGATACATTATTTCTGGAACTACTTCAATGGCTCTCTGATTGAAAGATTTGATCATCAGAATGAATTCATCATAATATTGTTTATCGATAGAATGTAACCTATGTTCAGAGAGAATAGTAGCTGCATTATAAATATTAAATATGTGTGCAAGCACATGCACACACACACATACTATCTTGTCCTTTAAATCTAAATGTCCAGATAATGAGGTAAACACCTTTTTAATCACCATATTCACTACATTTACAGAATTTGCCCTGTGTTTCAAATCATATTCTAGGCATCCTCTATATATAGTGCTATTAATTCTTCACACCACTAAGAAGTAGGTAGAGTTATTACTGCAATTTTCCAAGTTACAAAAATGAGAAGAAGATGCATTGAGTAAGTGTCCAAGGAAATATATTTAGTAAGTGGTAGGAAAAAGATGAAATTAATAAAATCAATATCAGAGGGTACACTTTATTCACTACACCTTACTTGTATCAAACTGCAGGTGTAAGAAAGTACTTTTCCTCAGTATTGTTACTTGTAGTAAGAGAGAAACATTTTCAACTAGTATAAATATCTTCATAGGTCTGGTCATTCAACAAATAAATTTTTAAAAATATCTCCCTTGTACATTGTTTAGTAACCTTCTAGGGAGCTAAAGGTACATACATATTTACATTGCAGGCATTGCAATGTAAATGTCTTACCATGATGCATGGTCCAGAGTTCTACCTCAAAGTCTGATTCAAGATATGTAAATAGACCAAGAATTGAACATCTTACCATATTCTCTGATGAATATGTTGTCTATGATCCAATTTGAATAACACTAATATACATAACAAATTTACTAATAGAATATACAAACTAACACAAATACAAAAGAGTATTTTAAGGATTAAGGCACTAGAATTAACTGAATACAGAGGGAAGGGAAGTGAATGGGATTCAGGCTTTAGGATACTGTTGAAAAGAAGGCATCCAAGTTTAAGAGCATTCCAGGTGTTCAGCTTCACAGATCGGTTTGGGTGGAAGATGTAGGGTCCAAAGGTATAAATTATGGTAACCATGGAAGAACTATCTGGTTTTAAATTATAGTGCCTTTGAAATTCAACCCTAAAATTTATGGAATTTGTGACATACCAGCTGGCATGAAAAGTGTTAATGGCCATAACAACATAAATAAATGTTTGTACCTTCTCCTTCTCTACCATGTTCTATGTAGCCGCACATGATGCAGTCATACAAATAATGTTCCAATCCCCAAATAAACTAAAACCCAAACAAAACTCACTGCCACTGAGTCAACTTGTACTTTCAGCAAGTATACGGGACAAGGTAGAAATGTCCCTGAGCGTTTCTGAGGATGTAACTCCTTACTGGAAGAGAAAATTCATCTTTGCCCACCGTGCAGCTGCTAGTTTCCAACTGGGAGCTTTTGGTTAGGAGCTCAAACCTGAACTACTAATCCACTAGGGCTTCCTCCAACACCTGGTATATCTGAATATTTAAATATATCATGCTACACAATAAAATGGATTCTTCAGATGTAATCAAGGGTAAGGACCTCAGGATAGGGAGTTGGTGGTGTTAGGTGTGATGGAGTTAACTCCGACCCATTGCAACCAAACGCACCACCGAAGGAAACACTGCCCGGTCAGCACCATCCTCATAAACGGTCCTATGCTTGAGTTCATTGTCGCACTCTCTGTGTCAATCCATCACCATGAAAGCTCTCCTCTTTTTGGGAAAGACAAAGTCAAACCTTATCATAAAATGTGCAAAGACTTAGAGTTAGGAAAAGAAAGATGAAGAACCTGCTCAGTAAATCTTAACCTGAAAATATAGGGAGTGTATTCTTTATTTTTCAATTTAATCAAATGAGCCTTGTGCAGTAGAGAGGTTTCTCCAGCTGGAGCCAGAGAAGCGTGAGGGGGAAAGGTGGAAGAGATGAGTCGTAGAAAGGAAAGCAGGAGCTATGGAAGGACGCAATATTCCCTTGTTGACTCAGAGATGCTCGATTTTACACATAGAGAGAAAGAGGTCTTTAGTAGCTAAACTTACTCCCAAGCTGATAGCGATCAAGAATTAAAGGCATGTTAGCCCTATCAATACAGGAAATAAAATCCTGCTAATGACCAGAATAAGCTGTACAGTCAATTATCCCCAAGAACCTTCGAAGGAGACATTAGCCAACCAACATTTCTATTTCTCTCTTAAAATTGGAAAACAAAAGATAAATGTCAACAGAGCTCACCTGTACTCCATTCCTATAGAACTGTGTCAATAGCTTTGCTGTCCTACGCTCTTCAGTGCCAGACCATTTGCTCTGGCCTAGCACATATCCCTGGTGGCTTACCAGATGACCAACTGATTTGTCAACTGCAAAGTCAGCAGTTCTAGCGCACGAGTTGCTCTCTGGGAAAAAGATAAAGCTCTCGATTCCTGTAAGGAGTTCATCTTGGAAATCGACAGGGGCAACTCTACTCTATCCAATGGGAGTCCTTGCAGGGGAATCAACTCCACAGTAGTGAGAACGTATATCACAAATCAAAACCCAAAGATGTTCTGCAGAATGATGCCCATGACTTAAGTACTACATGAATAGTTAAAGGACTTTACATTTATGTCTGGGCATTCCAAATATAGATTTTAAATGTTATGAAAATTATACTTAGCCATTTACCTTGAAGTAAAAAGACAGTCAGAAATTTAATGCCTGGTATATAGGGGTAAAAAAACCAGAAACATTGAAAATACCTGAGCATATTTTTCATGAAATCTGGCAATCAAGCCCCCAAATATGCTGGTATCATAATTCATCTTATGGTGTCAACATTTTTATTATTTTCAGTATTTACCAAAATAATGAATGTACCCAAAATTGTAAGAGGCACACTGGCATGTATACTTTAATTAATGGAGTGCAGGTTTTCTAAGAAGGCTTCAGTAGTATACTTTCACACTTCACTCCCACGGGTCGAGCACCATGCAACCACCACCAAGGACATTCCACTGAGTGATGACAGACACTTATTTTTTGCATTTTTCTGCCTCTTTCCGATTGTCCCCTATTATATAGATAACAGCAACCCTACCCAGTTACACCCACCACACCTGCTGCCTCACCCACAGGGTGAGTGCCACAACTTCTTTCAACAACGCTGAAGAGATGACAGATGGGTGGCAACGCCTATCCAATTGCTCTCAGCTGTTCCACATGACTTGTGCATAGAGAAACATGCACACTCCCAACCCATTAGCAAACCCACCAAGAGACAGGTGGGGAGCACACAGAGCCATGTAACTAGAGACCAGAGAAGCACCCACCCCATCTGTCCAAATAGATCAAAACAACGCAAAACAAAAACCAGTACAACCAACAAATACATCCAATAGCAAAGTCTCAGAGGTGATAAATGACTTCATACCACATGAACCAAAAAACCCCAAAACAACAAGATGGCCCAAGCAAGTGACCCAAATGCATAACCGGAAAATCTCCCAGTGGAAGAAATTGCAGTGAAACTAACTGACTAGCAGACCAGAACTTTATATTTAGGACCTCCCACAAATTAAGATGGCATTCCATGAAAACAAAAGAAAAATTAAGGAAAACACAGATAGACCTTTAAACAAGTCAGGAAAATAATACAAGACCATATTACAGTTTTAATAATCATGTGCTGTAGAAATTACCCTCCTGTGCTACTGTTATATGGTTCTCCCTTATGACTAAAATAGGCTTGCTGTGATTTCTGATGGTAAAATTGTTCTGAGGGGATAAGTTGAAATGTGATATAAGAACCCTACATGTAAGAGAAGAATTCTTCCAACTGTGTAGGCATCTTATTGTTTAATTACTTTGATTTTTTCAAAAAAAATCCACAATCTCTATCTGAAATTTTTAAGAAAATATTTTATTAATTTTAATTTTTCAGATTTTAATAAGGTGGAACATGCAGACTTTTTGCATAGTAATTCTGCCCTACAGAGCTAGGACACCATCCAGCAAGGAAAACAATATTTTCCTACAGAAGCATATGATAAAGACATTCAGTGGAATAATTAAAGATTAAAAATGACCTCTCACCCGTGAAGGTCAGGTTTTAATGGTAATGAATTTGTACCAAAATTTCAGGGTTGGGGAAGCGGGGGACCTTTGCCGTTAAGATTGTAGATATGTTACTGAAAAGGCTGGATTTACAAATTGAAGCTGTCAATGCTTATGTTTTTCTGAACTTGCTTATTCTACAGAGATATCATGTCCCCAGTTTCATTTTCTGGGAGGGCAATAAAGCAGGAAAAAGGAAAGTATGCAATTGATGATTTCTCAATCACAAATCAGATCTACTCTCTTCTCATTCTCGCATTCAATTCTCTTTAGGCAATCCCGAATTTTGTAGTACTTACATGATCTCATCTCATAATGGGATTTAAGAAAAAAAAATTGCCGTGTCTTGGCACATTGAGTAGAAACATAAAAGCCTACAGACTATATAACTTCATATATGTGAATGGTTACTGAGAAGATGCCTCCTGGGGGGACAAGATATGATAATAGCACCAGCTTGAGCTCCTTTCAGGGAGCTGATCTTCATTGCCACACTTGGAGAAGCTGGATTTGTCATTTACTTGGGCAGTATCTCTCTTTATATGACCTCCACTTACCTTCATAATATACTTTAAACCCATGAGCACTAACGGCGAAATCACTGGTCAAACGTAGTGAGAACACAGACTTGGTACTGGTCACGGGTGGTGGCAGATGGAATCCCGTTAACCTAAAAACATAAAGGGGATTCATTGTTAGAGTCATGGGCATTGTACCTAACAGAGCTGCAGGACTATTAATAGTCATCTTCTGAAGGCGACTGCCGTTTGTGGAAATACCTCTGTCTTTCATGTTATTTTGATTTGAATTTACTTATCAAAAGCAATTCTTTATACAATTTACGCACCTTACACATTTAATAGATTTGCACAAATTAATGTTCCTTTGTGTAAAAATCTGTCTCAGAAGTACTTCCAGGGCCCTCCTTAAGAGCAAGGATGGCAACACTGCGCTCACACACCTTAGACGTGATACCAGGAGACCAGCCCCTGGAAAAGGACATCCTGTTGGGTGGAGTGGAGGGTCAGTGAGAAGGCAGACCCTGGACAAGAGGGACAGACAGTGGGTGCAATGATGGGCTGACCCTGCAGTGAGCAGCCCATCGGGACCACCAAGGTGCCTCTTTACAAATGAAAGGTGATTATATTTATTACGCTCCTAATTTTTTATTAATTAAATCATTGAAAATTAACTTGTGCTGATAGTTCATTTAACAAAAATTTTCCTGAGTTTTCCCCAAAAATATTTGTTGATTTTTGCTCATAGTTTTACTTATAGATCAAACCTTGAAATCTATGAGATGATTTAACATTAACACAATTTCCAAACCCTAAAAGATAAAGTTTAAAAAGATTCTTGGAATTTAATTTTTTATGCTGATGAAAAGACAAGATTTAAAATTTCCCCCCAAATTTCCCTTTTAACAGAAATTTGTCCATCCTGTCATTATACTGTATTCTCATTAATGAGTAAGTAATATATTTAGGATGAAAATATAATAGTTTCTCTATGTTCACTGTTTTTTTCAAGCATTTGATATGCAGGGAGGACACAGATTGAAATGATCACAAGCTCCTTTAGCTTCTGTTTCCCCTCATAGTCTGAAAAATATCCAAGAACCCTATTATTTAATTTACTAGAAAGTAAAAGTATTAAATGTCTATTTGTTATTTTATTGTAAAATAACCAGAATAAAGTTGATGCGTGATAATATGAATAGTACATTTCCAGACAACATTAATTCTGACCCCTTCAAAGAAAAGGAGGAAATGCATTGCATTGCATTTCTGCAGATCTCCTTCCGGTCTGGACTGAACAAACAAATCATGTTTCCTAACAGTTACATTCACATATTGGTTTCTACAGTTAGTATTTTGAAAAATGCTGTTTTAGTTCATGAGTTTGAGGGAAATAGGCTCTCACTTAACTTTGTAGTTAAAAATGGGTGGAGTAGTTTAAAAATGTTGGTAGATAAAAGTGGACAGTGTTCTTAGATGATAAACAGTCTATTGCCACGTTAACTGCAACATGGGAATAAAATCATATTGATGAATGGTTTGTACAGTCAGATCTGTTGGCTCATTTCACCCTGGGATGAATCTTTTTCACAATTAAAAAAACAACACACTTTTATTGGCACTTCATCCACATTTCATACAATTCAATAGTTCGATTATATCAAGAAGAGTTGTACAATCTTTACCACAATCAGTTTTAGAACATTTTCCTTTTCCTCCTTAATCAATGCTATTCATGTAACTTTTTTCCATTTTGTCAAAAAATATACACACAAAAATTCACCAGTTGAACAACTTTCCATATACAATTCAGTGTCATTAATTATACTCTTTGTGTTGTCCACCGTTATTGTTAAGGCTTTCCAAATTGTTCCACCACCATGAACATGAACTGAATGACCACTAAGCAAACACTCTTCCTCCTTCAGCCATTGTAACTACAGGTCACAGGGTATTTTTCTTTTTTTACACTTTTAGTAGTTTTTTTGAGATAACAGTCACCTATTATACACTTCCGCAGTTCCTCTGTTTCTAAAAAGAGTTGTACGAACATCATCACAACCAGTCTAAAACTCCATCCCCAATCACAAATCCACTGATCGCTCCCCAATTCCCCTGGCCTCCTTCCAAAGTTTTTAAGCATTATGCATTAATTATTTGAAAATGTCCCACTGAGTTACATAGGTTTTCCAAATGTTGGCACCTTTCATCATACATACTGAAAATTACACTATAGTTTTTCTACCACTGCTAAACTCAGAAATAAAGAAATTGTCAAGCTTACAATATCACTTATCTTTGAAAGCTCATTATATTATTGAAAACAAACCTTGCCAGATGGCTTCCTTGAAGTGCCAAACTCACACATGTATTAGCTCAACTCTACCTTCTCATGAAAACCATCAACTTTTGTATGTACCAGGTATGTTCTTTGCATGTTTTCAATTTCTTCAGATTATTGAAAGTAGAGAAAATATATATGTATATATAGTGGAACTGGTAGAATATATATATATTAACAAAACATATATACACAAACTCTCTACAAGCTACTTAGATCTTCCAATATAATTGCATTCTATGTTTTTCTTATAGTTATGCCAACTTACAGATATATTTCAGGACTACATTATAAGGTGCATGGAAGTTTTATATGATTATATATATTTACATGGTTATATATTCCTGGTATAATGAACATTTTGTAAGATGACATTCTATTTCTATATTGATTCCATTTTAAATCTTATCTGACAGTAATATGTCTAAAAATTTCATTTATTAGCTTTGGGCTGATACCCTTTTTATTTTCACCCTTTTAATATATTTTAGCTTTTCAGATGTACCACTTAAAACTTATTCAGATCTTTTTTTAAATTTCATATTTCTTTTTACCTTATTTTTAAAACAATATTTTCAAAAATAGTAGAGATGATTCATTGTGAAACAGTTTCCCTCTTAGGAAAAGCTTGTTTCTGCAGATATTTTAAAATAGTGAGCATGTAGTGGCATGTTGTGAAATGGGATATTTAACTATTTTTATTCTTTATTCCAATAAATGAGAGAAGGAAATATACATCTCTAAAATTAATTTAATGTGACAGCTGTGTCCCTAAGTGGATTTGTACGAACTCGTACTAACTTGTTTGACTCCCTCTCATAGAGCATTGCATTCAAAATTAATCTCTTACAAATATAACTATCACTAACGTCTAATTTCGATAAGGTTTCTATGTAATTTCATATTTATGTATGTGTTTTTATTAAGCAGGCTCTCTTCCTTTATTGGACCATGATCTTCATGAATTCAGAGACATGTCTTTCATTTAGCACTCCTCAGTGCTTGCATTTCCTACAAGTAATAGCATAGTAGTGGACCTCAAAAATGTCTGCTCATGAACTTGAGGGGATTGGGAAATATGAGTGCTTTCACAATACTTTTTTCCATCAGTATTCTCAAGAATCACATGTAACAATATTCTCAAGTATTACATAAATGTAAAGGAACTCCAATGTAATAAAATATATGAGCTATTAAGAGACTCATTTAGAAAAAATTATTTGTTAATAACTTCAAATTTTAAATGGGTATCATAGATCTTATGCATATCTTGTTGAAATATCTTTCAACTATTTTATAGTAAATCTTATTTCTGGTTAAAGCAAATACTATTTTCATTTAAAAATACATTATGAATTCATAATACTTAAATAAAGTGTTTAATTAAAACCTAACAATTTTGTAGATAATTTACAAGCTTTCCTACAAAAAAGATGTAAATAGTATCTAAGAATAATTTACATACATTCTCATGTTTATTATGTTGAGTGATATATAAATATATTTGTATTTGTTATTGGATTATATTACCAATGAGAAGTTTTCATCTTTAAATGTAATAAAACTGGATAATTAATGATATCATATGTTGCTCTGAAGAGAGTGCTAAAGTCTGTCTTAAAAAAATGAAGAAACTACATCTTAGAAATGATTAGTAATATCTTTACATTTGTACAGATGGTAGACACTACAAGCCCATGTATCTTGTGACTTTTGACTCCTATCCATTTACTTTCCATTTTGACTTCCCTTTCTCCATGAGAGAAGGCTGTACAACTAATTCCTATGTTTTCCCACAGGGTTGTTTAATAAATATTTGGACTAGACAAGAATATAACTTAACCCAAAAGTTGTTTTGACTAGTTAAAACTACTTAACTGTGCCAAGGTTATAAAGAACTTTGAATAAAAGCTTTTACTGCAATGGAAAACTATTGTATGACTCCCTGTTAATACCTGTGGTAGTTACATAATCTGGTGTCAATTTGAGCGGATTTAGAGTGAAGGGGTGGAGTTTGGCCTGTCAATCAAGATATAACCAACGAGGTCTCTGCATGGGCATGACTTCTAGGAATTCTGGGAACTCCTGTATTTCCTCCTTGGAGGTGGGAGACACCTCTCTCTCTACTCACTCCCCGAGAGACGCTCTACTGAGAAGACACATGATAGTACGCTGATAGACCCCTGGCTGATTATCACATGTGGGGCTAATTGAAAGGCGGAGGGATAAAGGGGTGGTGAGCCTCACCTTTCTAGTTCTCGGGTCTCTTGCTTTGTGATGGTCCCACCAGGATGCAGCTGCCTTAGCAGCTCCCTGCTTCAGCTTGCAAGATTGACATCCTACAAGACATCCCCAAGGAGAAGCCACATGGACCTATCCTGATGCAGCCCTGGGTGCTGGAGCAGCCGTGTGGAGACCCCTGCTAGTGCTGAGATGCTTATTCATTTACTGACTCAGCTTTCCTCCTGCAGTTGGCATCATTGCCTCTGTTTTGTGAGGTGGAGGACTTTGTGGACTGGTGTTGGGTTAATGTGTTAATGTTGGACTTGTGGGCTTGGGCAGCATTGGGTTGGGATGTTTTCGTGATGCACACTTTCTTTACATAAAACTCTCTCTTATACGTGAGTCGCCGTGGATTTGTTTCTCCAAAGTACCTAATACACCTGGGAACTGGAGAAGCCACATGGAAACCTCTGCCAGCCCTGAAATGCTTGCAATGCTCACTCCCTGTGAGACATTTCTGAGGAAAATCGGGTCCTTAAATAGGTTTAGGACACAGAAGCCACGTGAAGCTACCCTGAGGCAGTCAGA